ACCCTAAACCTCCTAAACCCTACTTGGAGGGGCAGGGGACTTTGTAAGTAGGTTATAAGTAGAGTTTCAAGTACTCTAAATGGAGATACCCCAATTATAACCCTACTTATAACCCTACTTACTAAGTCCCCTGCCCCTCCAAGTAGACCCTAAACCCTGCACCCCATAGATCCCTTTAAGGAGCCGTATAGATCCCTTTAAGGTGCCCTTTAAGAGCCCTTACTAAGTCCCCTGTTCCTCCAAGTAGTTACTATAAGTCCCAATGAACGTAAAGTTGAGGAACCCTCAAAGGCGGTCCCCGGGCCAGTCGCGAGCTTCATCCAGGGGCAGCGAGAAGCCGGGCAGCGCATCCTCGAGCTCTCTCGGGGCATTTTGGGGAGGGCCTTTAAAGAGTTTAGGGTTTAGGGTTTAGGATTTAGGGCTTAGGGCCTTTAAAGGGTTTAGGGTTATGAGTTTAGGTTTTCGGTTTGGGGTTTAGGGTTTAGGATTTAGGGCCTTTAAACTAGGGGTTTAGGGTTATGAGTTTGGGGTTTAGAGTTTAAGGCCTTTAAAGGGTTTAGGGTTGTGAGTTTAGGGTTTAGGGTTTAGGATTTAGGGCCTTTAAAGGGTTCAGGGTTATGAGTTTAGGGTGTAGGGTTTGGGATGTAGGGTTTAGGGTTTAGGGCCTCTAAAGGGTTCTATTAAGGGTTTTGGGGTTCCTTTAAGGGGATCTACAAGGGTTCCTTCAAAGGGTTCCTTAAAGGGATCTATTATAGGGTTCAAGGGGTTTAGGACATTTTTGTTTTAATGTTTACGGTTTTATGGGTTTGGGGTTTAGGGTGGCGTTTAGGCTTCAGGGTGTCAGGGTTCAGGGATTTAGGTGTTTCGGGTTCAGGGTCGAGGGGGTTAGGGGTTTACGGTCTAGGGGTTTGGGGTTTAGGGCTCTCGGGTTTTAGGGTTCTCTTACGGGTTCAGGGTTACTGTCACGGTTTCCTTCAAAGGGTTCCTTTAAGGGTTCCTTTGAGTGTTCGTTTCAGCGTTCCTTTGCAAGGTCCTTCCGAGGGTCTGATATTCAAGGCTGGGATCCCCAACCTCGACTCGAAAAAAACAAATCGGCGGCTTGTTTTTTTTTATGATCTCTTGATGTGCTCTCGGAAGGATTCTTTTGTGTTTAGGGTTCTGAATCTGATCAAGAAACCCTGGGACTCTATCTGGATTCCTTATATGCATCCTACTAGGGCCAGGGTTTCTTCATCAGGTCCCTACATTGTTCCTTTTTGCTGCTATTTGGCTTAATAAGGGAGCCCCCCGAAAAACGGGAAAGGTGGTCCTACTGGGGAACCTAGTATAGGGCTTTTGCCCAGACACGATACTGCAGTGCTCCTTTTGTTATATGGTTGCCCTGTGTTCTTAAGGCTTTGCGCTTTAGTGTTTCGAGTTCAGGCCAGCTACATGTCAATGTACGTTTGAGGAAGGCGTGATAATGGGAACTGCAGGCTACGAACTACCACGATTAAGAGTCTAATTATCAGACTCTCTCCAGCCCCCTGCAAATCCTGTCAAAAGCCTTAAACACGCACTTCACAGAATATCATAGATTCCCCTCTAACCCCTCGCAGGACCTGGCAAAAGCCGTAAACCTTGAACAAACCCTCTTATCAAGGACCCGAGAAAGCGCTATGAAACACTTGTGAAGGCCCTCTAAAGCACTCGGATGATCTTATGAAACCCTCGTAAAGACCATCTGAAGACTTAGGATGATCCTCTGGAAACCTTACAAGTAATGAAAGGCCCTTCGAAGCCCCAGGATGATCCTGTGAAACCTTTGCAAAGACCCGCCTACGTGCTAATGTGCCGAGCGAAATTCGCCACGACTGCCGTAAATTCGACGGACTCGCTGACTGTGGGCCGCGCAGGCACACAGCCCCCGACAGCCTGCGAATCGGGCTTCATCTTACGATTACTCCTATTATTCAACATGCAGTCTTATATTCCTTACTACTCGCAAGTACATCTTACTAATTTCGATTAGTACTCCGTTTTTTGGAGGGGTGAGGCTTATAGGCTCTACTGTTTAAAATTTGCGGTATCTAATGGCTAAATCTCACGGTTTAGGAGGTTGGGGGTTCATGACCAAGGGTTTATACATACCACTTTGATCATGAAATTAGGTCTCCAAACCATGATAGGGACGGGGAGCAATGACACACTTGCCCAAAGGGTCCAAAGTACCGATATAGTAGAATGTAGGGCTTCTATATTAGGAATTACTAGTATGATTTGGGGAGGTATTCCCCATAGCAGTACATAGGACCCTTTGGGTTGGAGCACCGGAGCCCATAAGCTCCCGCGTGCAAACATAGGACCCGGAACCCAAGTCGCAGTCAGGGTTTAGAGTTTATAGAGATTAGGGATTAGAGTGAGTTTAGAGTTCAGGGTTTAGTTAGAGTTTATAGAATCAGAATTTAGGCTTTAGCTTAGGGTTTAGAGTTTGGTCTTTAGGGTTTAAGGTTTGGGGTTTTGAAATCTCAACAAACGCTAGTGACCGCCAGCGACGCCGGATCGAACCTGCCTGTGACCACCAGCTGACCTTAGAGCCCCAAAGCCACAACTCAAAACAATCACAATCCCAAATGCGAAGCTTGGGTACGGCCCCCACTCAGTAATAGTTGAGTCAGAATCAATCAATGCGTCAATCGACTCAACCAGCCGGCGAATCCGAAACCCACAGAATTTCTGAAAAGCAATCCCGAAACCCGATGAAAAGACTACACCCATATAAACCCGAAACCCCTAAACCAATAGACCCTATACACTAAACCCCTAAACCCTGAACCCCTAAACCCCGAAACCACTAAACCCTAGACGCTACTAGACCCCTAAACCCCTAAAACCTAAACCCCTAGGCCCTAGACCCTGAAAGCCACTTGAAGCCTCTCGCAGCGCGCGGAAGCAGATGGAGGCGCTGAAGCACCGAAGCCATGGGGACAGCCGTCAAAGACGAGGACCAAACGTGAAAGGAAGGGTCCCTTTCAGGGGGATCCATGCGGGCTCCTTAAAGCGATCTATATTATGGGGGTTGATTAAAGGGATCTATCACAGGATTTAGTGTTTAGGAGTTTAGGGTCTAGTGGTCTTTTGAAAGGGGTTTAGGGATGTAGGGTCTAGGATGAGAAGGGTTTAGGGTTTCGCGCTCTTCTTGTGGCTCTCCTCCAGAGACCCTCGTATGTAGAGGTTCTTGTAAGGCTTGTTTCAGTGGTGTGCTGAATTTAGAGTTTGGGTTTCGAGGCTGATAACACAAGCGTGCAGCTGGGGGGTTTAGAGTTAAGGGTTCTAGGGATATGGTGTTAACCGCTAGGGGCCTTTAGTGGTTTGTATATCGGCAACCGCATCCTCCCTTTTGGGTCGGGTCCTTTGCACGTCACGAATTCTAAAGGTAAGCTCTGACGTTACTACATGCAAGTGCCGGAGCTACTACCGACTTGTTTTGAAGGGTCGTAAGAGTCGCAGCATGACCCCTCTACAGAAACATCAGGGACACTATATCGTAAAAGCAGGATATGATAGGGGATCATGCGCACTCCAGATTCAACAACACTCTTTGTTGAAGGTCCCTAGGAGGAGGATCCTGACGACGGCACATCCGTTTTATCCAAAACGGCAGGGCGAAAAGGATCAGCATGTATGGGATGCAGGGTAAGGGTATCCCGATGCTTAGGATATGCGCCGTTTACAGAGTTTCAGAGCAAGCTTGATCACAAAGATCGCAGCGGAACCGCCTGAACGGCCAGGAGCAGGTACTGTCCCCGGGTCAAGCTATGGAGGTGACAACTGCGATGCCACAACTGCAGGTGTGCCGACGGCGTTCTGCCATGAATCAACGCAAGCACTAGACCGGGAAAGTATATAGTATGTGGTTACTTCTCGGACCCTTAACCCTACAAGCAGCCCGAAACCTGAGGGAACCTAGGGGCTGAGTACCCTCGCCCAAAACTTTTTAGGGTTTAGGCTTTAGGGTATATGGTAGGATTATCTGAAACCCAAAAGGTTCAAGGCTACCTACTCAGCTACTAAGGAAATGATTTTTACAGTTAGGTGCCTCGCCTTGTGAGGCTCTGAATTATAATGATGCTAACACCGAACAATCCTATGAGGGTCAGGGTTTAGGGTTGAGGGGGTCTATGTTTGGGTCCCGTAGTTTATCGAAAGAGCCTAGCAATACCGGATAGGACTCAAGGAACAGCCAGTAGAAGATGCCCTAAACCCTAAACCCTAAGCCCCTTAAACCCTAAACCCTCAACCCCTAAGCCCTAAACCCCTAAGCCCTAAATCCTAAACCTTAAGCCCTAAACCCTCAACGCTAAACCATAAGCCCGCCATCTGTTACCCCAAGAGCCTGCACCCGAAACCTAGACCCGTTCCAGAACCCTGCGAAGAACCCACATCGAATCTTCGCAGGAGCCCTGAAAGAAACCTATGGCCCTAAGCCCCAAACCTAGAGAAGCCTGATAGAACCGTTATCCTACGCAGACAGTACCCTTATCGAACCTTAGGACCTTAGGAAAGCCTGAACCCTCAACACCTGCCACAGAATCCTGAATGGAGCTTTGCAAAGGCACCCTATCTAATTATTAAGGCCCGGAGGGTTTAGGGTTTTAGGGTTTTAGGGTTTAGGGTTCTAATGATTAAGGCCCCTATTGGATCCCTTATCGAACCCTCATGGAATCCTTTTAAAGGAACCTTACAGTAAACACCTTAAAGTTGGAAACCGGATCAAGGCCAAAATGCGCTGGAATTCCCTATACACATTACTCTTAGGGATTGAAGCTACTGGGTTTCCAACTTTTGGGCTTCTACTGTAAACCATCTGAGTTCGAACCCTAAACCCTGAACCCTAAAGTTGAGGAACCCCCTAAACCCTAAACCCTGCACCCTATATCCTAAACCCTAAACCCTAAACCCTACACCCTATATCCTATATCCTAAACCCTAAACCCTAAACCGATGCCGGACCAAGGGACAACTCTCCCTCTCCTCGACCCTCGTCCTCGAGAAGATCTTTGGGTCGTTGGGCTTTTTAAAAAGACCTATATCTTTCGTTTTAGGGTTTGGTTTTTAGAAAAACCTATATCTTTCGTTTTAGGGTTTGATTTTTTTTTAAAAAAAACCTATAATATCTTTCGTTTTAGGGTTTGGTTTTTTTCAAAAAAAAACCTATATCTTTCGTTTTAGGGTTTGACAGGTTTTGGGGCTTTAGGGTTTGAGGGTTTGAGGGCTTTAGGGTTTCAGGGGTTTAGGGCTTTCGGGCTTTTAGAGCCTTAGGGCTTTAGGGGTTTTAGCACTTTAGGGTTTTAGGGCTTTAGGGCTTTACAGTATAGGGCTTCAGGGTTCTAGGACTTCAGGGTTTTCGAGTTTGGGGGTTAAGTCTTCTTTAGGGGTTCCTTGTTTCCTTTAGGGGTTCCTTTCTAGAGGTTAGTCGTAACTCGCTCTGGGTGTAGGCTTGCCTTGTCCCGTTTCATAGCGGCTGCAAAGGATAATGTCATCAGATAATCCAATTACATCCAAAAGCTGCAGAGCACCTACTCTGCAAACTACTAAGTCGTCAACTGAGGTGGTTTGAAGCTTCTGGGGAGGCGATGATGGTCATGAACGGCATGCTGCATCGCTGTCCAGCTTTGCGGACAGTGTGAACCCAAAACCTGCAGTCTTGAACCCTAGTTTAGGGTTTAGGGGTTTCCGGAAACCCTAACCTTGCCTCCAAAACGTAAACTCCAAACCAACCATGCGGGAAGTCTTACCCCGAGGAAAGCAGCATACACAGACAGCAGAAAGGACGGAAGACAACAGGAAGGACCCACCGAAGACAGAGTCTGTGGGAGTTGCGTTCTGTCCATTATGGTAAAAGCCCTTCCACGATAGACCATGCAACGTGCGCAAACCCTAGGCCGCACACCTTCAATTCCCAAAGACTAAATTACCCGAAACCCCTGAAACCCCGGGAAAAACCCTAAACCCGAAACCCCTAAATGCTAAACCCCTACCCCTTAACCCTAAACCCTACATAAACCCTGAACCCCCCAAAACCCCTACACCCAAGCAGCCAAAACCCTGCAAAATCTCGGTCCTTCTGCTGGTCAAGAGTCTCCTCTGCGACAAAGGCTACCTGCTCCGACTTCGCTGGTCAGACGGGTTTGGTGGGGGTGCCTTTCAAGTTTTGGTGGTTTTAGGGTTTTGGGAGTTTTTTGGGTTGGAGGGTTTAGGGTTTGGGGTTTAGGGGTTTACGGGCTTTTAGGGATCTGTAAGGGTTCCTTTAAAGGGATCTAGAGGGGGTTCCTTATAGGGATCCATGGTTAGGTTTTTGAGGGGTTGGGGTTCAAAATAAAGTTTAGGGTTTAGGTTTAGGGTGTTGGCGAATTGGGAATTAATGGTTTTGGCGCTTAAGCTTAGGCCTTAAGGGTTTTTGGGGTTGGGGTTTAGGGCTTAAGGCGATTCCAACTACTTTCCCGGAAACACGCCCTAAATCCTAAACCCCTAAACCCCTAAATCCCTAAATCCCAAGCCCTAGCCTAAGCCCTAAAACCTAAACCCGTAAACCCCAAACACCAAACCCTGAAACACGCTTCTCCACTGCAGATAGGAGCCCAAGAAGCCGGAATGCCAGATGCACAAGGACTCCTCTGGGGGGCTAGAGGGCCTTGATACCTATAATACCGACGTATTAAGTCCGTAAGGCCTATTTAAGGAAGTATAATCCCCTACCCCCCTCCCCCTACCCCCCTAAGGGTCCCTAGGACAGATGCACTCACACTTATCCAAGCCAAAATGAATGCCTTAATAGTTAGAATAGGGCCCCTTTTAAGGGGTCTATAAGGGTTACTATATGGGATCTAGAGGGGGTACTAGTAATAATTAGAACCGGGTTTTGGGGCCCATTATGCTATTGGTGATGATTTAAGGCTCACAAAGACCTGAAGGAAAAGTCGTAGCCTATGGGATGCCTTGAAGAAAAAGTGTGTGTCTGCTGGTGATGTAGAACCCTAGGGCTCTAGGAACTTATGTACTCAGGCTTTTGGGCCCAAAGACCATACTATATCAGGCCTTGTGCTATTTTGATGCCTAGGAGAAGCTGCTGTTGCCTTTTATTGTTTCTCATGGTGATGGTGATGCTGCTGCTGCTGATGGTCACCGTGGTGGTGGTGGCAGTGATGGTCATGGTGAAGGCGATGATGTTGATGTTGATGATGTTGAACTGAGAAAGACTAATGGACATGATGACCCTGCAAACTGTTTATCATGTGTTTCCAGATGGCGGCCGAAACGATCAGAAACAGGGTTTTCGGCAGATCAACAGGCAACCTGAACGTTCTTGCCTCTGCAAGCCAAGTACATTCGTGCCAAATTTTCCGCGGCTACTACCAGGGCGGTCAAGCCCGAAGCCCTAAACTAAACCCTAAACCCTATACCCTAACCCGAACCCTAAACCCTACACCCTATACCCTAACCTTAACACAAACCCCTACAACCCTAAACCTGATCTAAACCTTATACAACCTCTATCCCAAGATCCCTGAAGCCAAGATGTTAGGAACTCCCATCGCAAACCCCGTCCTCAAACGCGTAGGGCCTAGGGCCTAGGGGCTCTTTTTGATTTTTTAACTTGGCTGACTTCTGGAGCCCTTCCTAAAAGTTAAACTCTTGGCCTCCTTATTATAGTTCATATAGAAACCCAAAAAAGTTAAAGTCCGAAGAGCCAACCAGAAAACACCAAGTAAAGTTGGGTTGACGGCCTGCCTTATTCGCTCCGAGCGCCTAGGGTTCCTTCAGTACCCCTTTAAGCAGCCACTTAGACACCCTTTAGCCCCTTAACCTACATACGCTACTCAAGCCCCGAAGAACCTACCTTTTTGACGACTAAAGAAATCATATTAAGGAACCCTTAAGGACTCATATATAAAGAAATCATAAGAAACCCTAAAAAGGTAGGTTATTCAGGGTTAAGGCATACACTACTCAAGCCCCGAACCGTCAGCTTCGGCCTCCTTGAAAGGAAGCCTCTGCCACCTGATACGGTTTAGAAACTAGGTTTATTAAAGGGTTCCGTTGAAGGGGTTTATAAGGGTTACTATAAGGGATCTATAAGGGTACTATAGTTTATAAGGGTTTGGGGTTTAGGATACGGTTTAGAAACTAGGTTTATGTAAGGGCTTGGGGTTTAGGATACGGTTTAGAAATCAGGTTATGTAAGGGCTTGGGGTTTAGGATACGGTTTAGCAACTAGGTTTATGTAAGGGCTTGGGGTTTAGGGTACCGTTTAGAAACTAGGTTTATGTAAGGGTTTCGGGTTTAGGATACCGTTTAAAACTAGGTTTATGTAAGGGTTTGGGGTTTAGGGGTGTGGGGTGTGGGGGTTTAGGGCTAAGGTTTTTAAGTGCTTAGGGCTTCGGGTTTAAAGGATTGGGTTTAGGATGGTTCAGGGCTTAAGGGTTTGGGGTTTAGGGGTTTAGGGTGCTAAGGGCTTAGGGCTCCGGTCTTAAACGCGGTTCTGCTGTTACTGTAGGTTCAGGGGTTTAGGGTTCAGGGTATATGGGTCTGTCTAGCTACTAACAGTAACATCTCTGCTAGCCGCCCATAAACCCTTTACTAGAAGATAAGTTGGGTCGAGCTACTTGGCAAAGACGGCTACTTTTTCCCAACCCTACTCCTGTACTAGGGGTTGAGAGTCAGGTTTAGGTCCCCTAAACTTGGGGCTTTTTGGGTTTAGGCGTCGGGCTTCGTGCCCCTCGACTGCAGCGGGGTTTAGGATTCAGGTTTAAGGCTTGAGGTTTAGGCAGGGCTTCGGGCTTCGGATGGTTTACGGCTTCGGGGGTTAAACAGGGGGAGCGTCCTACTTGCATCAAAACTTGGATCCCAGAATGCATTGTCTTTTCGCGTTCAAACGTTCAGAGTTCCCTAAAACACCAAGGGTCCAAGTACCTGATAATCGCATACTCTCCAAAATCCTAGGCTACATAACTACTATCCTAAAACTGAGTACCTAATTATTGGGTCCTGTGGACCCTTGGGGAAACCTAAACCCAAAGTTTCCGAAAATTAAGGGGTACCTTGTTTTGGGGTCCTTACAATACGGATCCTACTATTTAGGGTACTATATTAGGGTCCCCCTATTTTCGGAAACTCCCATCTAGACGTGAGAGAGGCTTATGCTTCAGCTTCCGCTAGGCTTTGCTGAAGATGTGGCCATGGGGGCTTGTGGTCATGGTATGTGACGATCTTCTGCACAGGCCTCAGAGGCTGTTCGTTCGTTGCAGAGTCCTTCTTCGTCCAATAGCAGGGCCCCACAAAGAAGAGCGAGAGAGAGAGAGAGAGAAAGAGAGACAAGCCCAAGTTTCAAGTTTCGACCACTTGATCCCTGTAACCCTGAAAACTACAGGCCCTAAACCCTTAACCCTAAACACGAAACCCCAAACCCAAACCCTAAAGCCTGTAGACCCGAAACCCTGACGACAAGAACCCCAACCCTAGACCGTACTTGGAGGTTCATGGGTAGTCGTAGGGTTCAAGAGTAGGATAACTAGTTATAGAATGGTTACAGGCTTTGTATCCTCTATTCGGGCACTTGTAACCCAACCTGTAGCTACCCTTGAACCTCCATGGCCCATCCTACATGCGGCTTTTCAGCCCCTGGACCTTCCGGCACGCGAAACCTATGCTGTGTAGAAGGACCAGTCTTCAAGCAAGTCCCAAAAGCACCACCACACTCAATTGCGGAGCCTCCTAGCGCAAACCCTCCTTTCCCAAGCCCTAAGCCCCGTAAAGGACCCCTCTGAATTCCGCAACGCAAAAAGACACAAAGCGGGCCACGAGACCTGTACTGCTGCCGGAAACGGATGGCTGACCAGAGCACAAACCTGAAATCGGCTGTGCTGGCTCCTTTTAAAGGGCTTTACAGGCTTGCTTCCCCAATTAGTCACAGAAATAAAATGTTAAACTTCCGATTACTAACTATAAAGACCCAAAAGGTTTACAGGTTGGCTATGGCTATTTGGGGAACTAAGTAGGGCTCGGTTAAGGACTCCTGCGAAGCCCCTACGGATTCTATGCTGGGAGGATCATGCGACTTAGCAATAGGGTTCTAAGTACCTTCATTGGGGTTGGAAGAGTAAGCATGGCTATAAGTACCTTAATTGGAGTTGGAAATGATTATAAGTAAAGTTACCCTTATAAATCACCGTAACTACTAAGTCACAAGATCCTTTTAAGTAAGCATTATTGCGACTGCCATTAGGGTTCGATGAGCGTACTGAACGGGTTCTCTTTAGGGTCCGTTAAAGGGTTTGTTGAAGCTTCTATGAGGTTTGAAGGTTTAAAATGGTAATAGGGCTTAGGGGTTGCAAAGACTTGAAGGGCTTCCGCTTTAAACTGACCTTCGAATCAAGGGTTGTTGTTTTTTGTTTACTTCTCCTCATGATCAAACAACAATATCATGCACCCCATTACACTGCTCACCAAAATCCCGAAGAGTAACCCGTTCTAGTCATGACAGCGACTTTGACTGGAAGTCGAAGCTCGTGTCAAGATAATATGGGTGGTTGTCAAAATTAGGGTCCCTTTTTGGGTACCCTAAAGATTAGGTGCCGTACTATATTAGGGACCCAAAAACTGACCCTAATTTTGACAACTACCCATATAGGCCTCAATAAGCAGAATGGGGTTTTGGGGTATATTATACTATAAATTAAATATAATAAGAACCCCAAAAATAATGTAGCCGCTAAAGTACATAGCTGTCCTCGGACTTGGCGACGTAGTTGTAGTTGATGAGTGGGCTGCTTCGGCTCATTAACGTATGCAAACACTTTCTGCAACATCGTCCTTTGATGTTCTTGTTATGTTGGTTATTGTTGGTTCTTCGATCAATTTACAGATGCTGATTGACGGACATCACTGTACCGTGCTCCAGGTGTGGGTTTCGGCTGCAAAACCGCAACGACGTGCACTCTATCTACGCAACTTCGGATTTCCATGACACTTGGATTGCGCAGCACTGAAACACCCGAAGCCCTCAAATCGTCAAACCTGCAATTTCCAAGTAACACGAGGCTGCATGCGGCGATGATTCCTGGTGCCGGCCTAGCCCACAGAGAGGGCAAGCGCGGACAGCCAGTTGCTATTGCTGCGGTATTCACCATAGATGTCGTGGATCGAATGCTAGCATGGGGAAGTGGTGCCTTCAGATTCGTGGCGGTAGCAGCTGCGGCGGCAAACTAGTAGCAGTAGTAGTAGTAGTAGTAGTAGCAGTAGCAGTAGCAGTAGTAGTAGTAGTAGTAGTAGTAGTAGTAGTAGTAGTAGTAGTAGTGGTAGTGGTAGTGGTAGTGGTAGTAGTAGTAATAGTAGAAGTAGAAGTAGAAGTAGAAGTAGTAGTAGTAAGTAGTAGTAGTAGTAGTAGTAGTAGTAGTAGTAGTAGTAGTAGTAGTAGTAGTAGTAGTAGTAGTAGTAGTAGTAGTAGTAGTAGTAGTAGTAGTAGTAGTAGTAGTAGTAGGTTAGTAGTAGTAGTAGTAGTAGTAGTAGTAGTAGTAGTAGTAGTAGTAGTAGTAGTAGTAGTAGTAGTAGTAGTAGTAGTAGTAGTAGTAGTAGTAGTAGTAGTAGTAGTAGTAGTAGTAGTAGTAGTAGTAGTAGTAGTAGTAGTTAGTAGTAGTAGTATAGTAGTAGTAGTAGTAGTAGTAGTAGTAGTAGTAGTAGTAGTAGTAGTAGTAGTAGTAGTAGTAGTAGTAGTAGTAGTAAGTAGTAGTAGTAGTAGTAGTAGTAGTACTACTACTACTACTACTGCTACTACTACTACTACTACTACGACTACGACTACTTCTACTTCTACTTCTACTTCTACTATTACTACTACTACCACTACCACTACCACTACCACTACTACTACTACTACTACTACTACTACTACTACTACTAAGTTACTACTACTGCTTGCTACCATTGGCAGCAGCCGCAGCCTCATGAAGCCGTAGTTACCTGGTCGTAGTGGCAGCAGCAGTAGAAGTAGTAGCACACGAAGCCAGCAGAATCAGTGGCAATAATCGCAGTAGCAGCAGCAGTGGCAGTGGCAGCGGCAGCGGGAGTGCCAGGGGCAGGGGCAGTGCTTCATGAAAAACAAGCCCTTATACAGCGATGACAAAACCCTGTTTGAACAACCCAGCCATACATACAAAGAGACCCTGAAGCCTAAACCCTCAAACCATCTAAAACCCCACTCCCTCACCCGACACCCTAAGCCGGATAATTTAATCCCAAACCCTGCACCCTAAGCCTTGTACCCTGAACCCTCAACCCCATACCCCGACTTCTAAACTTTAGAACCCTAAACCTTGTACCCTGAAACCTGAAACCCCAATGCTGCCTAGACCCCTCAACTACACTCTAATACATCCCAACTAGCCACGATTTCGGGCCAGAAGGACTCTATTAGCGGGGCCTCGGAGGGGGCCTTGTGAACTTTAAACTTCAGTCCCTGAACTAGGCTCCCCAATAGCCCACTAATGATAAGGTTACCCTTTTTCTTGATATTCGGCTAAAATAGGGAAGACCCTAAAGTCAAACGGGCAAAAGTGTACTACTGAGGAACCTAGTAAAGCCTAAAGGTTAAAGACACAGAGATCAAAAACCAAGCAGCTCATCTGACCGCAGCTGGAGGACACCCACCTGTGGCGCGTATAGGGTTTAGGGATTCCTTAAGGAACGCAAACCTCCTTCTAGTAACTCCTTTACAAGGTTCCTCAATGGCTTCCTTTAAGGGCTTCGGATTTTTTGAAGGATCCTTTAAGGGTTCCTTTCAGGAATCTACATGGGCCCTCGATGGTATTCATAAAGGTTCCTTTATGGTTATGGGGTCCTTCAAGTGTGGGGTTCGTTTAAAGCGGTCCTTTAAGGGCTGAAGGCTCCTTCAAGGGTTCAAAGCTCCTTTAGGAGCTTAGGATTGAATTAAGGGTTGCTTGCAGGGTTATGAGTTTTTTTTTTTTTTTTGCGGGCCCTTTTCCGACTGCATTACCAGAAGGGATACCTTACCAGGTGGAGCCTATGGTGGGGCCTCAGTATGGACACAGGGTTATGAGGTTAAGGTTTTGCAACGGTTCCAAAATAGTACTCAGGGTGCGATAAAGGTACAGCAGGGGCTCGATTGCGTGTATGATTATGAGGGGCTGATGAGGTAAGTTTTCCAGATCCCAACATGTAAACACAACTCATACTAGGTGTCGGTTCAACAATCCCCCAAAATTATTCAGAATTAGGTCTCTATATTATGCAACACGGGACCCGCGGAAGGAAAGCTCGACGATTTTGTAGTAGCTAGGAGGAAGATGGAAGCGCAACCGGATCAGACATGTGTGGATGTAACGGCTTGCAAACACTCGGGTATTTTCGATGTCCGATCCCGATTGCCACCATGCTCCAAGTACCTGCAACTCGGTTTCGACTTCAGTTTCTTGGTTCCCCCAAGTATTGCTGCATGCAGAAGGTTCCGGCAACGATTTGCACTTCTCACAGCAACACTCCAAGCTCTAGAACTCCACAAAAACCCAGACCCTCTGCATGTAAACGAGCACTAAAACGTCGCGCCTCGGCCCCGGCCGAAGCGGTCAGAGTTTCCACGCCCACTCACAAGCAATCCCTGTTTCCCCACCTCTTAATCACTCCCGAGTGGCCCAGCCGTCTTGGCTTGGCCCGCACGACCCCCCTCTCCCCCAATCCGCTCTAAAAATTGGATTTCGTGTTCGCAACCTCTACATCCAGAGATTCTGCTGGCAGAGAGCTGGCTTGCTGGGAGCACTCCCCGATTTGGGCGTTGTTTCTGTGCGAACCCCCCCCTTCGCCCCCGCTTCCCTTTCTTTTCCCTGCGGCCAGGTTGGCCGATGTTGCCTTCCTCGGGCTAGTTTGCATCATTCATAATTTTGCTGCCAACGCATGGCTGGCGCAGATAACAACGAAAGTCTCGATAAGCTAGCTTCCATGAACACAGTCTGAGGCAGAAACTCTGATTCACTCAAGACCTCAGCTGCGTCGCCTGACCTGTTGCTTTCCGAAAACAATGCACCAGCTCCACTTACAGCCGGGCCGAGACGGACGACGCGAAGCATTTAAAATTACGACCCACCTCAGAAAGACGACCGATCAGCTCAACCCCAAACTACGAAAACTTCAGAGAAAGACCGCTGCAAGCCCCAAACTCGGAACCTCGAACTCCAAATCGTGAGCTTGAGGATCCCTCTATATGCACTTCCGCCCCATCCCCAAATAAACGAGATGCAGTTTCAAAAGAAACGAGGAGCCATCAGGATCACGTAGAGCACCAACGCCAAGTGCATGTGGCCAAGCTGTGTTACCCAGAACCTCTGGGGCTGTTTGAAGGAGCAGAAGGATTCCCATAAGAGTTGCTTGAAGGGCTCCTCCTTTCTAATCTTGGCTGACTTCTGGACCCCTCCTAAAAGTTAAACTTTTAGCCTCCTTATTCTAGTTCATATAGAGAAACCCAAAAAGTTAAAGTCCTAAGAGCCACCCAGAAGAACACCACGTAATTCTAAGGCTTTCTCTAGAAAAAGGCTCCCTTTCTCTACTCCTATGAATAACATCGCCTGCGAGACCTACTTAAAGGATCCTCGGGCTTAGTAACTATCCTTAGGCTCCTAAGAGAGTCATGGGCTTCCCGGGGGAGAGTTTGGGCTTTGGCTGCTAAGGTTTGGGATCTCACTAGAAAACCTACCGTTTTAAGGGTTCGACCCTCTAATTAAGGGGTCATAACCTACTATTTTGTAGGGTTTGGGGTCACAAGTAGGGTTGAGGGTACGAGGGTCCAGGAGTCAGGTTGAGGATTTATAGAGGGCTCACTATAGCATAAAGGGGGCTTGGGGCATCGGGAATCGGTTGTTACCTGTAGTCGAGCAAAGCCTATCTTTTTGATTTGTTCTGTTATGGTTTCTACCGATCGACCTGTCCAGCTGTACATGCATAACTTGATTGAAAAGGTATGCTTCTCGGGCCACAGGTATAGGGTTTAGGCTGTCGGGTTCGTTTGGCTGTGGATGTCGGGGTCGGGGGGGGGTCCTGGACACCGAGGCTTAAACACAGACGCTCCGACGCATATTGGCCGGGAGTTTAGGGTTACTGTGAGCACCAGGTGCTGGGATTGATTTCGGGGCGGTCTAAACAAGACCCTGTCCCAAATAGCTAGCCTTCAGAACCCCCAAACCCTAAACCTGCATCTGTTCAGGGCTTATACTATAGACTTTAGGATCTGGAGTTTCAGGGTGTAGGGTTCTCCGAGTTTGACGCAAACCTTTTTACCCTTCGGGCGCAGAGTGCTGAGTTCCCAAACATGCAAAGGAGACAAAGAAAAAGACGTGCTGCTAGATCGGCACGCGAGACCCAAAATAAATCCCTGACCACAACACAGTTACTCCAAACCCCAAACCCCCCGACGTAAACCGAAAAGCCGACACCCCAGAAAACAATTGGACACCTGCGCCCAAAAACCATCATTCGCCAAAGAACGCACCACCCAGATCGGGCTTCTTCGTCTCCTGATGACGGCTTGGGGTTTTGATATAAGGTTTGGGGTAATTAGTCTCTTGAGTTTAATGAGCGGCTTTCTACTGTCCCTTTGGGCGGTTAACGGTTAACGGTTTCAAGTCTCAGGGCTGTTTTTAATGCGTTCTCTATACAATCGGGCTTAGCGTTCAACTCAATAGTTCATGTGATGAATCTTTGAGGTTTTATCTGGTGCGGCGACACCGCTTGATTACATGCGTAGCTAAACAGGTGGGTTCAGCCCTTTGTGTATGTACCTGCTCTCTTGCATGTTCAAATGTTCATGTCCTCAAGAACTGCCGAGTCTCCGTGTAGATCACGAGGTACCCATAGATGAGCCGAGCCAGCAAGCAATCGATCATGGCTAACCTCAAAGGCATGCTGTACAGACCAGGAATCAACGCCTGGGAACATGGTATTTAGGGGCTCGGAAGCGTTTTGGGGATATCGGATATCGCCAAAGATCACCGACAAAGCTCTGGCACTTCAAGGAGCATGGCCGGTTCAGCATACGTTGCGCAGGTGACTCACGTCCACAAACAACATAACCATGAGTCTTTCCTGCACGCGAGCATGTACAAGCTGTAGGCAAGGCATTGCACACGTGTTTCTGCTGGCTTGCCTTGGCCAAGTACATCATTTCCACCTATGGAAACTGAGCCTCACGCACTGGCATCAATGGCGAGATACTACCTGCAAGTTGATCGAACCCATGGCTTTGTCTGGCGGTTTGGGTTATAAGGGAAACCGTTGACATGATCCCGAAACTAGCTGCGTCTTTCCACTCCATTTCGTTGGTTTGGGTAGCCAAAAACAACATCCTCGTAGCCTACAGTTTCCAGCCAGCCCGCATGCCACCAACAGCAGAATCCCACGCAGATACGAAAAGCGTTGATTCCCGTCAATTTTCATCAACGTGCGGCGATGCCCATTGCGAGAAGCAAAACAAATCAAGACGCACGATGTGCAAAGATTCGCGTGCGACAAACTGTTGGTTCCCAAACACCAGTCGGAAGGGCGGCACAAACATGACGACTAAATTGCTACACAGTGATGTTTCTCTAAATCCGACTGTATAGCTATCCAGATGCACGACATGCAGCAACCGGAGCCCTAAACCCTAAACCAACCCTAACACCTAAACCATAAACCAACCCTACACCCAAAGCCCTAAGCCATCCGTAGTTGCCGTATCTGGTAATTGGTAAAGTTGCGGATCGCCGTGCGCCATGCAAGCACGCCCTCTGCCACCCTGACTTAGGCTGAACTCCGTGGCTGTGCAGCCCAGTGGCGACTTGTGGCCATTGTGCAGCTGGGGCGTTCAGGGTAAGCCGAAACTACGAATTATAGGCTCGTAGGGATTATGGAAGCAGCTCTAATGTTGCTGAACAAATGCTGCATTATAGAGAGAGTAGCGAATACTATTAGTAGCTGCAGTGGTTTAGGGCAGGTTTTGTGGCGCATAGTGTCGTTGTACAGTACCAATCAACAGTAATTAAGGCCGCATTTGCCGATTCTCGCGGCCAGAAAACCCCTCCGCGCAGGCCCGACCACAGGTATCGTCTGATCGGAGCCTAACGTATAGGTGCGGTTTGGCGAAGGAGAATTCGCAGCAACGACACAGGAAACAATTGATAGTCATGATGCTTTGCAACAGAACCATATGTAACCAGCAACGACTAAGCATGGCGAATGGCGAATATACGAGCAAGCAGTGTTTTGCTCCAGTCGAACACTGCCAGTCAGCACACTGGGAAGAAGAACGCCAATTCTGACATGACGCCGCTCATCCACCAAGCCGGTGACAGGAGACCAAAGTACGAGCAACGGGAGGTAAACACTAACAGGGTAAGCGGGTACAACAGGTGCGAGAGGATCATGGGACTTAAACCGAAGTCACTATTAAGGTAACCAGATTTACGGTCACTTACAACCCCGAGCAAGGTACTTATAACCTTACGACTTCCATTCCCTGCTAAAGTCAAAATGCACAGAATCGATACTAAGCCCCATGGTCCGTTACGTAAGGCTTCAGGATTCCAAGGGCTAGTTTTGAATCAGACCTCAGACTGGTTTTATCGGTAGCTTCCGATATCCGATACACGCAAAGGACATGAGAGGAAAGTGTGCAAAATATGAATCTGGCAACCTGGAGCACTTCACCCTCAGCGAGGATGCCGCTGCAGGCTGATACTATGGTCACGGGGTTCCGCAGCTCTGCAGCATGCCAGAAACTGGGTCTTGGAACTTGGAACTTGCAGGTTCTGCTGTGCTGCTTCAAGAGTACTGCGCACCAGCACGTGGTACGCAGGTTTCGCGAAGGAGGCGAGGAAGCAGCAGTCAGCTTCGGAAGCGGATCAACAGTCGTCTCACTGCGGATATCGTCTGCCCTCTGCAAACGACGAACCACATGCGACGTGTGCAGTTCTTTTTCTACTACAGCAGCCCAGTCCTCATCGTCGGACATGTTTGAGCTTGGGCAGCTGCATGATCAGCGCGATAATGTTGCGAGAATCGATTGTTAGCTCACTTGCAATGTCGTTCTGATTTACTTCTCATTTCTTTCTAATATTGGCAAGAGCACGATTTTACTTCTGATTTTGATTTCTGATTTGTTCTGATTTATGTCCAATATTGTCCAAAAGTTCGGGATCCTTAATTCAACAGACATTGGAAGTCACAATTATAGCCATACGTACTAAGTCCCATGATGCTCCAAGTATCTGTCAAGAGCACAAACCTTGCAGAAGTGAGGCAAACTCACAAATCATAGGTACATTAAGGCACGTATTAAGGCCCCTATATTATAGTACCCTTCTAGAGCCCTTATAGTAACCCTTATGTATAGACTCCTTTAATCAGGAACCCTAGGAACTCAAGCCCCTAAGGTAATCCTGGGAACACGGAAAGCTCCGAGCTTCAGGTTGATAGTAGATTGTGCATAACGGCTCCAGGGTTTAGGGTTTAGGGATCTAGGGACTTAGGGTTTAGGATATGTAGGATATTTCGGGTTTAGGGATTCAGGGTTAAGGGCTTAGGGGTTTAGGGGTTTAGGAATTTAGGGAATTAGGGTTTAGGGATTAGGGTTCAGGGTTTCAGGATTTCGGGTTTAAGACTGTAGGGGTTAAGGACTCGTTAGGATCGAACGCTTAAACTGTTTAGGTTGGGTTCTGCCCCCATACAGTATATTAAAACAGTCTATAATAAGGCTATTATATTAAGGGCCGAAAATTTTAGGGCCTTATATATATATATATATACATATATTATATATATATATATATATGTATATATATATATATATATATATATTGCGTTCAACTGTCCAGTGAGTAGGGGCAGTACCCGAGGTTTAGGGTTTAGGGTGAGAAACCAGGACTCTGTCTGCACAGTTTGCCTCGGGCCGCTCGGGTCTAGCGTTTGCATGGCGAGCCCTAGACCCTGTGTGTTCGAAACATTACGGCTGGTTCAGAAAATACTGTACTCTGACATAACGACCCCGGACGGTATAGTCAATGCATGGAGCCGTAAACTAAGTACTTCTAGCTTCAAACACCTTCTTGAGGGCCAAACCTTGATGCGCCTGTGATCACTAATTCTTCCCTTTATGCCTGCTGTGAGTAGTTGCAACTCTGGACGCTCAAAATCACATCACCACAACCCGAATCGGGTTTTGGGGTCTATTATCCCTAAACCATAAATCCTAAAACTACAATAACGAACCCCCACTGTGTTGGTAATGATTTGGGCCCCTGCATTACAGTCCCAGGTAAGGGGTCCCGACACTCGCGATGCGCTCCAAACTTAAGTCCCACGAAGTATCAGGACCGAAGTCCTACCAGGACCCTCTTGGTATCTTCAAAAAGGGGTATCTGGTCCCAAGTCTTGGGGTTTTAGCTTACGGAGGGTAGGAGGAGTTTCTAAGATGTTTGAGTGCTTGGACTCTTGGAGGATAAATACAAGGTCGTTCATCAGCTGACATCTGGTCGTTGGATAGATGTCCGGCATCCAATAACCCGGAAAAGAGTTTCGGTCAAAAGGAGACCCTGATGAAGGCGTAACGGAACCATTTGGACTCTCAGTACATCCGGACACCACCACATGAAGCACAAAACAAGCCTTAAAGTCAGCGAGTATAGTACGAACACTGATCAACAACCGCGCAAAACAAAATCAAACTTTCTAAGATAGACTAATTAGGTGAAGCCGAATAGTTTCAAGTTCTGCCATGGGCTAAGTAAGGGCAAGAACACACATAAGTCCCGTAGACTACCCCTAAACCCTGAACCCTAAACCCCTAAACCCTAAACCCCTGAACCCTAAACCCTAAACCCTAAACCCCTGAACCCTTAACCCCTAAACCCTAAACCCCTGAACCCTAAACCTATTAACCCTTAACCCTAATCCCCTAATACAAACCATACGACACACACCCTCCAACCGACTCGAAAGGAGCTCAAAGCACCCTGAGCCCATAAAAATTTTGTTTAGGGTTGACTAGGAAGTGCTCCTAAAGCCCTTGGAAATATAGGTAAGATCAAGATCCGTTTAAGCCCAATAAGAGCCAATATAAAATGTCCCAAAGCCCTGCCCAGTTGAGGTTTCTTTCTGTTTGAGCCCCGTTTTGCGTCCGCACCCCCTGTCTCCAGAGCATACATCCTGCCAGGGTGCAGGGTTCAGGGTTTAGTATAAGGGCCTAAATAACTACCAATACTATTTGTTGTGTTCCTTCTCATAATTGTAGCATAATGGGCCCCAAAACCCTGTTCGAATTATGAAGGCCCTCACATACTAAGGCTTTTGGGCCCAAAGACCATAGTATATCAGGTTTTTGGGCTGTTTTGATCCCCAGAGAGGGTAGGTACATACGCGCACAAATACTGAAACCGTATAGCCCTTCACTCCTATAGGCCCTGAATACTAAACCCTAAAACTTTGATCCCCCCCAAATCAAAAGATGACCCTAAACCCTACAAACCCTGGATGAAGGAGCGCAGGTACAGAAGAGGATGCCCAGAACCACGTTGATGGAAAGGTTGACACTCCGAGCGCCGAAGCCAAAGCTGTCCTGCATTTGAGGTTTAGGGTTTAAGGTGTACCTGGAGGATCATGGGACTTAGTAACTATGGTTATAAGTCCCTTAATTGGGGTTATAAGTAATTATAAGTATAGCTACCCTAATTATAGCCCTAGCTACTAAGTCCCATGATCCTTTAAGTAGACCTTAACACCCCTTATAAAACCTTTATAGATCCCTTTAAAGGAGCCCTTTAAGGAACCCTAGTTACTAAGTCCCATGATCCTTTAAGTAGGGCTCCGGCCTTCCTAGACCTCTCAACCACCCTTCATTGTGGCCCCCTAA